CTTTGTGGTGGCAGCCATGTTTGTTTTTAATTATTAGAGGATGCTTACGCATGTAATCATTCCATATTTGGACTTCGCATTACCTAATATGGTAGGATGAAAAAACCCCTGTAAAATATCGCAAAATTAAGGAACCTATGGCGTTACGGTGACAGATGTACAATAATAGTTAATGTGTGCACAATAACTTTACTAATTTTATTCCAAATTTTATCCAAACTTGGTCACCTAATTCATCAGTATAAAATCTTCCCTTAGTGCGAACGACAGATTTCCAGTGTGAAAATATCATGTAAAAATTTAGAAAGAAGTAGGCAAAATATGATAAAAAAAATTTGACTTGACTGATAACTGGTGATACACATTCAAAGGTCACTTGTCCCAGTCAGAATATGCATAATAGTGTACGTGTTCAATGAAGTAAATCATTTATCTTGTAATCAATATCATTGTACTATGATATTGATTACAAGATAAATGATTTTCTGCTCCCAATATGTGATATGAATTGTACCCTCTCACAGACTATAAATAATTATTCCCTTGTAAAGAGATATTTTGGTGCTATGAATGAATAAAACAATGCATACATCAATCAAGGACTTTTAGTACACTGCTTTCCCACTATTTCAATTTTAAATCTTGTTTATATTCAAAATTAATCAGAACAATGCATATTCATATTGAAACAAACTATGATTAAGGAAAAATTATATAACTATGTTGATCAAATTTAACCGACTAATAGAAATTTTTAGTTCCTGTTCAGACTTGTGGATTGACCTCTGTGCATGCAATGCCTGGACCGATTACATTCAAACTTCACAAATGCATCATGCATAATAATATACATATATGCACATCAATCTGTTTCACAATCAATTCAGAATGGCAGCCATTTTTGTGCTGAAATATCAAAATCAAGCATTTCTGGTATTCCAGAATCGGATCCTGATTGTTATTGGATGGATTTTTTTCAAACTTGGTACATACATTCAACATTATGGGACCTTGATGCACGTCATTTTGTTTTTCAGATCAGATTCAAAATGACCAACCGAATGAATGCGGTTCTAGTGCCATATCTCTGACATGCTTTGATTATGTTCAAATTTTATATATTCATTATACATCATGTTATAGATATACTGATGTATTCAAAATGGCCGACTGGTGGCCATTTTGTTTTAATTAATGCTGTTCCAGAGCAATATCTCTCAATATGGACAAGTATTCGCTTGACGATCAGATCAATCATTTTAATGTTAACAAATCATCATAATCATGCATCCGCTTCTGGATCCATATCTCTGACATGTTTATGTTCCATCTATATTACTATAAACAAAACTATGTACCTCAACTAACAGAGACTGCCCATGCATGGCTTGTTTGTTTCAGGTCAAATCGTGCAGTAAAACACAACAGAAATTGATTTATATCAAGAATTTGCATATGATCAACTCATTCAACAGTGAAGATGATGAATATCTTGATTTTCCCCACAAACCATTATAATTTTACGCCGTAAATATGTAAAATAATATTATGTAAATATGTTTATTCTCCTTAAATGATAAAATAAGAATATTTTGTTCCAAAACACAGATTTGACAACTTGCAGGTTTATCCTGCTTGCACTCTACATGGAGACATAAATGCTTTGCACCCTTTCCTGTGCCCAGTCCGAGGTAATCATAGAGCAATACATCCACATGACCATATTATCGTCAACCATAGACTAAATATACAAGCTGAGAAGAATGCACAGATATATGACTGTAGTTTCGTTATTTTATTCTCAGTATTTTCAGAACAATCTAAGGAAAGAAAAAGTAGTAACAAATACAGATACACTTAAAACAAAATTGTAATTGCTAAATAAGACAAGTCATTGATATAACACAGTCTTTGTTGAGCAATAGTAAACAGTTGCATGTGTGTGTCATGATGTAGTAAGGTATGCATTGAGAAGTTTGATCATGATCGGTATAAAGGCATGTCAGAAATGACTGTGGAACAGCATCTGCTTTAAACAAAATGGTCACCAGTTGGCCATTTTGAATTAAATCAACTGCTTAAAAACAAAAACAATATGCACCATGGTACTTCAATGTATGTCTATTTGCCACCATATCAGGTTCTGAAATGACAGAAATGATGATTAGTTTTTAGTGAACGAACACAGTTTGGCTATCTTGAATTGGATCATGGAACAAATTTATGAACATAGAGATTCGGTTTTTGATTTTAATGAATCCATAGGACTAAAATGGATGCCATTCCGCCATCTTGAATCAAATCACGAAATGAAAACAAGTGTGTATGTGTTAAATGTCCGAGCTGGGAATAATGTTCCATGCCTCATAAATTGTTTTCATTTGTAATAATGAAAAAACAATAGGAGTAATTTCCAAAACAAATTGCTTTACATCCCTTTATATCATGCAGCTTCTTTGCTCTTATGTAAAATCTCTCCTGGGTGGAATATATCACAAATATAAAATATCTTTCTGGAATGCACAACAGTCAAAGTGACAGTCAAACTAAAATGTAAAAGTATAAAATCATATCAAGATAGGGGTATAGCAGGCACTTGTACAATTGTTGCTAAATATTTGATGCTATTGTATATACCAACAAAATTCATATGTACAAAATTATAAGTAATGAAGGAAAAACAGATTGCAAGTTACTACTATAACCCCGCCCCCCAAAAAAGAATGTGATTGAGAACGAGAATTCACTATAAAAGATGACACAGTAGAGTTTGTTGGTAGATTTGTTTCTTTACATATGACGAGTAGTGTTCTGAAGGCTAATTTTTTTTCCAGTTTAAATACTAAATGTGTATACTAACTTGTATTTTGACATATCTTTTTATGTCATAGTGCATATATACGAGTAATGGGGATGTTAGTTATGACAAACTCCAAGAAACTAATAAAAGATATATTCATCGTAGTCAAATCTGATAAATACTCTGTGAAATTGTTCAATGCAGACAAACAAAAATATGCAATTTTTAAATTTCAACTGCCTACTCATTGTATACAGCTTTAACATGATTAGAGAAAGACAAAGTCATATTTGGAGAAGTTGAATGAAAAATATATAATAGCCATCACCTTCACGTATGTACACATAACATTATAGGAATTTTAGAGCAAATGTACAGCTGATTGTCAGAAAATATCAACATCTGATGCTAGTACTAATAAGTTATCAAGTTGCTATTAAAATGCATAAATAAAAGAGTCCTAGTTTTTTATATTAGGTAGCTGTATATGTCTTTAAAAAACGTAATCTGAAGTCACATTGACTATGGTATTTAGATAAATTCGAATCCTTAATAATTTAGATATGAAATATGCAAGATTCAATCATTGTTATTCAGATAAACAAACTGAATTTGTGATATGGAATGGATAAGAGGATTATACAAAAAAAAAACATTTTGCGACAGACGTTAAGAAATAGTTGATTGGTACACTTGTTTTGTGCATTTCAATTTTTAAAATTATGACAATTAAGTTTAAGTACAGTTTATGTTTTACTAACATTGATGAATCTTTCCCTGACAAAACTTCTTTGATCTCCACTTTGCACAGTGCAAGACCAATAAAGACCCACAGGCAGCAATTATGGCAGTAAACTATTCCACTCTACACAATAGATATTCTTTTAATTAAGTGCACACACTCTCTGCTATCTCTTCATTGTGCTCTTCTATTTTCTGCAAATGACTTCCCATTGTTTCAATCACATGGCCTTCATCTCTTTCTCCTTGCTCATTATCCTCACCAACAACTTCAAGCTCCACAAACTCATCTCCCTGTTCTTTCTCTTCATCATCATTATCTTCTTCCTCCTCTTCTTCATCATAAACAACTACTTCACTTTTGATACTGGTAACAATAGGAAGAGCAGGAACTGTTACAGGCATTGCTACAGGTACACCTTCCATCGTTGTGATTCCTTTGGCTGTCAGTACTTTCCCATGCTTGGATCTCAGGTGACGTTTGTAAGTATTTCTGGTTTTGAATCTTCTTGGGCAATCACAACAAGCAAAAGGTGCCTCTCCAGTATGACGTCTCAAATGTTCTTTAAAATGACTGGGATGTCGGAACTTACGACTGCAGAATTCACATGTGAATCGACTTTGGCTGTTATGTATCATCATGTGATAGTTGAGACTGTGTAGGCGTGTAAACGAAGCCTTGCAAATTTGACACTGGAACGGCTTGATGCCTGCATTGAAAGATTGGAAAATTACAATTTAGAAACATAGTAAAAATTCACAAAACAATAACTTGTTTCTCAGGAACCTATCTACCTTTCATTGATATTTTGATTCTACTGATAAGGTTTCAGTTCAAAAAGTGATAGCCAAACTTGTTTCTGCAGGAAACATATGTATTTTGATGACTCACTAATTTTGAAGGACATATCTGATTCTGTGGAAGAACACCAAAGCACTGATGGGGTATCTAGGCAATGGCTTTCATGGCCTCTGATTTTGAAGTGTATGGAATTTAGTTTTTCTCCACTTCATTATGTTTCAAAATGGCAGTTGCATTAAAGTCTGATGAATGTTTTTTTTTATATCTGTAGAACAAAAAAATTACTAGTTTTTGTAAATTAGATAACTAATATACACTGCTTTCAATGAAGAACTAACCAGGTCAGTTCTATGTTCCTCATAGAATAATACAACTTGAATTGTATAAAAGTTCCTAAAAAATAATAGTTAGTCAATAGCAACGCATCAAAGAGTACATTTAAGCAAAATAAAATACTAGCCAGATTTGAAAAAGTTGGGAAACAAGTGCACTTGTTACTTTTTGGATTTATACATATCAGTGATTTACTACACTGATCTAATTGACAAATTGCTAACATCTAGTTCTCATTATCAGCAGTATAAATGTCTTCATTCAGCCCGCTTATTTCTAATTCTAAAAATGTTTTATTTCAGTCAAATTTTACCCCATATCTTGAAAATTTGAAATTGAAAAAGTCTTTAGTTGACATAGTGATTGATAAGATTACCAATTTTGAAAATGATCAGATAAAAATTGAGTTCTTGTAACCACAAGAAGTAGTGAAATTTAATAAATATTTTGAAAACTATACATGGAACATGTACGATAATCAAACATGGCTGAGATCCCAAACTGGTTAATATAATATCAAAATTTGAAATTTGGATAAAAACTGTTTCATACCACAAAAAAAAGTTTTATGACTGAGTCAACAATGACAACAACAACGCCAGACGTTTTCCCCTCACATACCTTGCCTTTTCATCTATGCTGGATAAGATAAAAACAATTTTTGCCTGGCATCTGGTCAGTATATGTGCAATTAAAAATACTGATACAGTGTATAAGGTATTTATTTTATCTATAAACAGTAGAGTCCCTTCTAACTGTGCCGGAATGGGCTGTCTGATCAACTTGGATTTCGTAATTCAATATCATTTCAAAAATCCAGTAAGTGTCAGTAGTATTGGGCAGCATTCAAACTGACTTGTGACTTGGCTAATAGCTTGAATTTTGACTACCTATTACAATTGGTTTTTCAGACTTGTTGGCACTGACTGGAGGTCATGCCCATTCCACATGAATTCATATTGCAGCAGGAACAAACTTTCACATTGCAGAATTTAAACTAATAATTTACTTAATTCCCAAGCTGTCAGCCAATTGCAAGCTAAATAACCAACTTCAGATATATTCTAGATAAGCATTTTAAACAATTCTTCAAAATGCACATTGTTAATAGTGGCACAGGAATTATTTCGCGAAATACTATTTTTTAAGTTTGCTGAAATTGTAAATACCGGTAGACATCATTTCTCTTGCTGCTGAAAATTTAGGGGTGATGGTGTGAAGACAAACTCATTCAAACTTACCTGCGTGACTTCTGTAATGTGCTGTGAGAGTGGCCCCAGCAGTATATAATTTACCACAAATTTCACACTCAAATTGACCTTTACCATTGCCATCATCTAGCCTAGCTCTTCTTTTTCTCATACTCTTCAATATTTCCAAAGCTTTCAACTGAATAAAAAAAATTCAATAATTTATCATCAGATATGCATGATCGTGAAGTTGTGATTGCCTATATGCCATCACACTGTGACATCATTTGTTTACATTTTTGCCAGCATGCAAATGTTTTGATAACAAACGTAGCTCACTGATCAACACTAGCTTGCAATCTTGTGTAACAACATTGCCTGTGAGTTGTTTTATTATACATGTATATTTAATAAAGACAGCAACAAACAAAGCCGCTATATAATCTTCAGGTGTGAACAAATGGTTCTTGCTAACAAGTCACTGCACACACTGAAGCGTGCAAAATGTAAAGTATGACAAGCTGTAAGAAGGACTTTGGTACCATCACCTGTATAATACACTGGCATAGACTCAAACAAAAACACTAATTATTCTTGGAGTAGTTTTAGTACAAAATGTTACTTTTTCTGTTGAATTTTAAAACTATTAATAAAATATTTTCATTAGCGACCATTTTGTTTGAATGAGCACTGTTTCAGAGCCATATCTCTGATCATGTTTATATATACTTTATATATACATCTTGTCATACATACATGTATGCACGTAAATTTGTTTGATTCATCAAAATCAAGCATTTTTGCCATTCCATATTTGATTCAAAATGGTTGATCACAAATATAGTTCCAGTGTCATATCTCTGACATGCTTTGACAAATCACATTCAAAATTCACACATGCATCATATCACACATAAGCACATGCATTTGTTTCATGATCCAATTCAAGCTAGCCGAATGATGGCTTTTTTTGTGCTTAGAATTCGCTCAAATCAAGCATTTAAGGCATATTGACACTGAATCTTGTTTGTGTATGGACATATTTCATTCAAACTTGTTCATTAACATAATGGGTCTTTGGTGCATGTCATTTGTTTTCCTCAGATTGGATTCAAAGTGACCAATTGGTCACCATTTTGTTTTAACAAATGCTGCTCCAGGATCATATCCCTGACATGCTTTGATTGATCACCTTCAAACTTCACACATACTTCATATCATACATAAGCACGTGCATTTGCTTCATGATTAAACTCAAGATGGTTGAATTGCAGCTAGTTTAGTTCTAAACATTCAGCAAAATCAAAAACATTTCTGCAGTTATGGAACTAAAACTTTTTCGTGCATTGACAATACTGGTATGTACATTGAACATACTGAGACATTGATACTTAACATTCTTTTTTTTCAGGTTAGCTTCCAAGTCTCTGACTGGTGGCCATTTTTGTTTCAATGAATGCTGTTCCAGGGTCATACCTCTGACATGCCTTGACAGACATTCATTCAATATAAATATGTCAGTCATAATAGACAGTAAAGACATAAATTGTTGTATCAGCGATCATACAACCGTAAGAACATAACACTACTAAATAAATCATACTAACCATGCCAACCAAAGCCATTGTTTTCTTTTGTAATTGCATGAAATTATTTTTCTTTAAACAACCCTTTTTTTTAAGATGTCCACTGTTTAGCTCATAAGAGATCACTTTGAAAAATTATCGATGGGGACTGTGTCATTTTGTGAATCTCGAAATGAAACTTAACCACCTGTTGTCAAGTTGTGTGATCAATTAACCTTTTTTTCATCCAACATTCTCAATATATACAAGCACAACATACTTGGCAATACAGTTGGAAAATTTCCAATGAAATATATTTACTATAAGCAGACTTACCCTAACTTGTTTACTTTGTGCATCTTCATCTGATTTTTCAACCTCTGTTTTAGCATTTCTCATCACTTCAGACATTTTAATTCTGGTGGGTTTAGCCCTTGACAAGCTATTCATCTGCATCTGTTGTTGTTGCTGCTGTTGTTCTGGATTCAGTTTAGCGTTACCATCAGCTGCAAGACCACCTTCATAGTAATTTGGAGGGCTATCCATTTCAATGTACTGACTTGATGTTTCAGGTCTGACTGGTTTTCCTTCAGCATCAGTGTTCATAAGTTCCGGTACTTGTGGTTTCTTTTGTACTATTGTATAATTGTGATCATCATGGTATGCAGCTGAGGCAATTTCATCGCTGTAACCTGCTTCCTCGGTTACTATCTGGGCAAATTCAGACAAGGTCAATCTACTTTCAATGCCAGATGTTGACTTTTTAGAAGGACTACTCTGACTTGACCTCCTGCTTCTTCTGAGAATGTTTGGAACATATCTCTGTCTTTGTAGTGAACCTGCAACTGTGTCCTTCTTGATATTAGGCACTTTATCTGCTAAAAGAATACCTTTAGCAAGGGGATTGCTATTGTCAGAACTATCTGCCATGGTAGTCAGGTTAATGAACTGTCCCTTTGGCAATAAAACAACTTCATTTAATCCTTCTGACGATTTTATCACAGTAAAACTAGATCTTTGCATATCAGCTGACTTTGGTAGTTCTATAGTTACTGGTTTTTGTAACACAGGTACCAAATATGTAGAAGCATCTGGATTTGGCTCAAAAGTTCTGTCTTCATAATCTTCACTGCTTGAAGTATTTGAGTCTGGTTGGATGGGTGGGTCAGGGTTTTGTCCTAGATTAGTAACAACAAATAAGTGTATGTAATAATATAATCTAGATATTTCTGTTTATCAGTGCATAGCTATAACATGCAAATGACATTAACATTTTGACACTGTACTCTGCTGAGATTAGAATCAATTTATTGCTATTAGTAGATTTAGTAGTAGAATTATATTTGACAATCCAAATATCACATCCCTAGTAGAAGAATACATAAAAAAAATTGCATTTACTGTATGTATCACTAAATTATGACCATGGTTTTGTCCATAGACACTCCTCTGTCACATAAGCATATGCAACACTATGGTATGTGCAAACTGTGGGATCTATCAGCAAAAGTTGCGTGTTTGGTTTGAAATACATTTAGACAGATGAATATATTCTTATCTATTCTGAGTGCAAATGGTATGGGATTTTTTCAATGAACAAAGTTACCTTTTTTTTATTTGAGGTGGCACATATGTAAAATTAAGTGTGTGGAAATCAGACTGTTTCTAACAAACAGTACCATACCTTTCAGTGTACTCTCTCCTTCTCTAACCATGCCTGAGCCATCCTCAATACTTGTAAATTCCAATTTATTTGCGTTGGCAGGTTCTAGAAAAGCCAAGCATATTATTAATTTGAACAAGTTAAGAGAAAACAGAAAAAATGTTTATTCCATTTCCATTTGTCGAAATACTATAATTACCGGTATAACAACATGTGCAATAATTAGAACCTAAGTGATTGAAGGAATCTTAAAATTAATAAGAGTTATTTCTAAAAATAAATTAACAAGCTTATGTAACTTAAAAAAATGACAACAAATCACCACTTTTGGACTTTAGATGCAAATTAAGGTAGAGATGCAGTTTATTTGTGAATTTCAATCAAAAAAAGTTTTTTTCGTTTTTTATATAGATTTTTATCTAAAGAACATTCTGTGAAAATTTGACCAATGAATTCTTATTGGAACACCGTTAAAATTGCTGTTTATTTTCTGGTTAAAAATAAAAAACACTCACACGTGGCAATGTTTATGTCCAATTGCCTAATTTGCATGAGTAACCAAATAACAGGACCTTTGATTGACAATATGCAAATCGAGATTGTACGGGTCATAGTTCATTCAATTACGTGCATGTGCAATTAATCTCAAATCAGTTCTCGCTCGCTAGCAAACCAAACATTATATTTCCTCAGCGTTTTTTCCTAATTTTCATCATTACATTATGCATGGTGTGAAAAGAAAGAGAGGTAGAAAGAAGATTCAGATGATTTCTATGTCGGAAGAGGCAAAAGCTACACTGAAGGCATCAGCCCACCGAACAAAAAACAAAATCGATGTGAGCGTCCAAACATGACTTTCCTTGAATCCGAGTTTCTGATTGACTGAGAGATTTTATTTTTAAATAATTGTTCTCAAAAAATAAACTGAGCACGTGAAGAATAATTTAACATTGTTTACAGTGATAACTGCTCATTGTCGAAACGAAGCTTACCCATTCACGCTAGTCACAATAAACATCATACTCTTGAATAGGCGTCAATGACTACGGTAAAACTTAGAAAATGACGTCAAAATACACTTTAAAAGTCCCATTTTTTTTTTTAAATCCCATCCAGAATTTACGGCAGAATCTGGTCCCTCAAATAAGGGGCACGTGAGCTTTGATTCTAACCGGATATATTGCACTGGGTCGGGGAGATACAAACTTTTGTGTATCTTTTGTCCAATGGGTACCTGTACTTCGATCATTCGCAAGTTTTGCCAGGTGGTGCGAGACAGCTTTGTTTGCAACCGGACGAACTCCGTTTAATTCAATGAAGCAAACAACTGACAATGCTAAAATAAATTGCAGAGGTACGCTAAAATTAATTGAAAACAACCAAATAATTTCAATGAAAAATAAATCACAGAGAGAGGTAACTTGATACATTTCGGTAACAACTCTTTTGACGCGCTGACC